GTTATTGCTACCCCCAATGTTCATTTATTCTTAAAACTAATTTGGAAGACTTACATGTATCTATTGGGACATAACGGTGTAGTAACCAGGTTTTTATGGATGAAACAGCAAGCTGCATTGCAGACAATATGCAGTGCAGTTTTAGTATATTGTTAAACATGTATTCAGAAATGTTTTCAATTATCTTTACTTCTTTTAGTCTTATTCAGTAGTATTACTGAAGTCTAAAGGAACAAAGATTCAACTGTTTAAATGTAAAAGTCATTAGAAAACATGATTCCTAAATCATAAAGTACATTATAACTTGTATTAATAATTAATAATAGTTTATTCAATGTATATGCTGCCTGACTCAGCAGCTCTGTATGTTACAAATAGTTGAAAACATTTAAAAAACAAGGAACAGTACAAAAAGGATAAGCCAAAGGAACAGAGATGGCAAAGAGAAAAAAACTGGATACCCTGTTTCTCCAACAATACGGCCTCCCCCAAGAGGAAGTCCCAGCATGTTTTATAGGCATGAAATGAAATTAAGCCCCTCCCCCCAAATTAAGGCCTATATTAAAACATGCGAAATGGGGGGAGTGGTGGGGGGGCTCGCCGCTAGGAAGTACTTTTGTTGCACACCCAGATATGGTGCTGCCTGCATTGACCCCGATACGAAGTGCCCCACCAATGCCAAGGTAAACATCCAAGCTATCGCCACCTGCCCGAAGATGCAAGGGGGGGGAATTAAGTCACCCCCAAAGAGACGGCCTATCCATTTTTGGGGGGCTCAAAAAAAAAAAAAGACCCGGCCTTATATGAGAAACACGATAGAAACAAGGAAAAAAGAAAAGGGGCATTGATCATTCTCACCAAAAACCTGGATTGAAGAGCCATATTTTAGGGTCTTTTGAGATACCATTGGAGAAAATTTCAAATTGGGCTCATTTCATAGGGTAAGTGCCTTCTGTATATGTATGTGTACATGAATGTGCATATTTATATATAAGTAAGTTGGGGATTTGGTGTAACTTCAGTACATTAATATCACCATTCCAAAAAATTGAATTGTATATACAGTTTGAACAATGTTAAATGCTTGAAATGTTGTTATGTGTTTTAAAGTAGCACTTCCATTATCAGCTTTTTTCCAAATTGTTACCCAGATAGATATTTATGGTCTTGAATTTATTTCTTTGACTTCTGTAAACAATGTATTCATCATTTGATTGTGCAGATCTACAGTGAGCAATACTTCAAAGACAATCCAACATAGGTTATTTAACTACAATATAAACAATAGAAGTCATAATTTCAAATTACAGAAATAAAGGATTAAGAATTTTAGAGAAATTTCTTGATTTTTCATGAGTATCGCTCATAGTCTTTTCAACATTAAAAAGCCATACTTAAGTAGAAATTCTAACAGCCTTCATTGTTAAACACTGTATAGAAATTCTTGATGTTAGATGTCATTACACTGATCTTATTCAAACAGAAAATACAGAATAAAGCCAAAGAAGCCAAAGTGTTAGTGCTATTTCAGGAATTCTGATACAAGCTTTTGTACAATACAGTTCATAAAGAATAGTGAAGGAGAAAGGAGTAAGGGAATACTTAGGGGGGAAAATTAGCAGGAAAAAGCTTGTGCACATACTTTTGGTTTGGGTTGTCTCTTCATTCCTATATTCCTCTTTCAACACTCATATTTGAAGGACTGCTGAAAACAGTCCTGCTGGTGGAAAAAACCTGGCATCCAAGTTAGTGTTAATGAATAAATATATCTATTTTTGGATATCCATACATAATTATTCAATAAAATAATTATATAGACCATAGAGAAAGAACAATAAAATATAATTCTGTTATATAAAAATGTAAATGTCACCCAGTTTAGAAACTTGGAAACATGGTCATTAAATTTTATGACAGTCTTAAACCTTAAATTTATTTTAAAAGGGTTAAATCAAAATGTTACCTCAAGAAATTCTTAAAAGAAATATCCAATTATAGTGAAATGCTAAAGTATAACCTATATTTTGGAAATTTTAATTATGAAATCAGATTTTCAAAAATGCTTCTGAATATATCTGTCTTCATTAGAGATAAATAATTGTATTTTGAATATCCCATGTTAAAACTATAACCTGTGTTTAGAAAGCTAGTTCTCAATTGGAAACATACAACGTGGAGTTCTCTAGAATATGGGTTCCCAATCCCCAGTCTGTGGACTGAAACCAGTCCATGGCCCATTAAGAACCAGGTCATGCAAGCAGTGGGCCAGCATGCAAAGCTCTATTTGCGCGAGCATGCAAAACCATCCCCTCCCACTGGCCCATGGAGCTGGAAAAGTTGAGGATCACTGCTCTAAAATGTCTTTTGCATCTATTGCTACTTCCAAATTGAGAAGTGATTACAACTATATAAACATAGACTGAACAATGAACTTGCCACAGCCCATGTTTTTTTTTATCAGTTCTAAAAGGACATTCACCATCATTTGATTAACCCTTTAATTTACATTTCCAGGTCACTCCAATAATTTTTATTTGCCTTATTTTTTAGATAACTAGAATAAATTAGTCTCTAAAAATGGCAAAATTCTGTAACATTGTGGAAACATCATCCACAAATGGTTGTCAGCAGTCACTGATCTTGATTTAACTGCTTTGTTTTACTGAATATATTTTTATTGGTTAATGATTGAAATAAGGTTTCTGTCAGTGAACTTAGCTGTTGGAAGAATATATTATTAATGTATTAAAATCTAATGATAATAGCAATACAGAAGAATCTTAATAGAATATATAGTACCGGCTCAGAAAAACAATCTTAATAAACCTAAAAAGCATGGTATTTCCTGTCAATGTTGAGGAATATGTATCATATTCTGGCACATCCTGAAATAACAAAGTTTAGCCTCATATTAAAATTAGGAAAGGAATTGTTCTCTTGAAGACATACTAAACCCAAATGAGCAATTTTCAATACTGTCAACATTCACAGGCAGAAAAACAAATTTAGAGTCAACAAACACATTTGTTGCCAAAAACACGAGCTTTTCTTTGTTTAGAAAATACATACCAGATTATACAAAAATAGAAAATACACAATTTATTATGTACCTGCTAATCAACTATTGTGTTTTGGAATGCACATCTGGCCATCAGGGCTAACCTAGAAACAGCGAAGGACCAGCCCGCAGTGCCTCTGCCAGTGAAAATGGAGCTTGGGTATGTGCCTCCCCAGATCCATTTTCACTGGCAGTGGGCTGCAGGAGGCCATGTTGGAATGGCAGCTAATGGTTTGCAGCATGTATTTGTGCACCATAGCAAAATTACCATGTTACTGAGAGTCCAGTTTTATTTTAACCTTTCAGTGTTTTCTTGCCATCTATATTTTGCATGAAAAGTCAGAAAAAGAGTGAGCAAGATATAGGGACACAGGGAAAATATTACTTGGAAACCAGGTTTTCTTAAAAAAGCAAAAAGCAATTATGCCACAGATTTGGAAACAGGCTGCTGATTTGGTAATGTGATATTTTAATTACTATTAGGAAATTATTTCAATAAAGTAATTATTTTCTATTGGTTTTAAAATTTGTTGTCCATATTAGTATGTAAAGAATACAGCATGGATGTGCACAGTTGCAGTTCTGAGACTATGTTGTGCTTTCAGAAAATAGGCTTTGCAGTAGGGATGGCAGTCTCGTAAGCCTCTCTAGTAATTAACTAAATAGATAAAGCACTATATTTGAAATATATTAATCAAATGCATATAAACAAAAAAAAGTGACATACAGGCACCCAACCCGGCATCTAGGAAGGATCACAAGTTTAGCAGGATATGGGTTAGATGTGATAAAGTGGAAAGTTTTAAAATAAATATTCTCTGAATATAGATCTTTTTTTATCAATTGAACTAATATTTTCTTTCATTATATTATCTCATTTATTAAGATACCTTGAAGAAGTCATCAAGGAGGCCCTTTATGACTCAATTTGATAGCTTAACTATTGCCTTAGACGTGGGTTGTCAAACTCAATGCCTGCGGGCCGGATGTGGGGTGCTTAAATCCAGTCGGGGGGGCCAGCCTGGAAATATCAAGGGACTGGTCTGTGGTGCTTTTGGCGGCTAAAACGGACCCATGCGGTGCCCCCCCCCTTCATTTTTACTCTCCATGGCCTCCTGCAGCACTGCTGACTGAAACTGGGTAAAAAAAATGAGCAGAAAACATCCGAAAACAAACCAAAGCCAGGCTGAAAAACAGGCCAAAAATGGACATTCGGCTGGCAGAGTGCTCCAGGAGGCCATGGAGGGCGAAAACGAGGTGCAGGGGAGATGCACACAGACCTCACACACCCCATTTTGGCCAACAGGGTGCTGCAGGAGGCATCTGTCCTGACCACTGTCGCTGGCCCACACAGCAGAACTACAATGCTGATCAGGCCCTTGAAGAAATCCAGTTTGACACCCCTGCCTTAGACAATAGTACAGTTCAAGATGTTAGAGATTAGGGTTGCATATAAATCAATTTTATCATATGCCAGTAGTTTATTATTTCATCAGTAGCCATGTATTTTCTATATCAAAACCCATATATAAATTCTGCATTCAATGAATTGAAATAAACTAGCAAGGAAAAAGCTGATTTGACTGACTTCTGATAGTACTCAATAAAACTCTGAATGCCAAGTTAATGAAATGAATACAATTTTGTAAGCAATAAGTCATACATCCTTGCTATTGGTTTTCTTTAACACTTTTTCATCAAGCAGGAGACTTGTACACTGAACTTATATATATCCTAAAATATACAGGTAGAAAAGCAATAGCATAACAACAATTTGCAGACTGGAAATTTTCATTTAACTTTCACAATAAAGTATGATACTGTATTTAGATTGCTCTTAATTAGACTTTCTTCATTTGATTTCATGTCATGAAAAATTTCTATGCTTTTACCGATCAGCTATAAATCCCACAGAAACACCATCCAATATAAAAAGCCTTAATGAGTTTTTCTGTTTATTTTTATTTTTTTACAATTCCATTTAAAAATTTTAATGTGCATACATTTTTCTGGTTTTTCAGCTTTCTTAATTGCACTGAAAATTTTTCAAAACACATAAAATATATCCCTTTGCTAAACATTTTTGTTCTTAAATTACAAAAAAAATGACAGTCACAATGTTAAGTACATTAATCTAAATCATTTTTATCCATCAAATTCATTTCATCATGTAGAATGCTGAGCCTAGAAAATATTATATTCCATAAATATAATCATTATCCCACTAAAATAAAGCAAAGATTGGAATGGAATACGTTTTCAAGTAAAATACAGGTATAATTTGGCAGAATGATTGTAGAGGTTTAAGTCTACCTACAACAGGGGTGTCAAACTCAAGGCCCATGGGCCGGATCCAGCCCACAATGTGGTCAGATCCAGCCAGCATGACCCTCCTGGAAACAGTAAGGGGCCAGTCCATGTTGCTTCAGCCTTGCCCATGCCATCCTGACGGGCGCAGGCGAGCAGGACGGTGCAGGCACATATGCCGGGATGGGGTGGCCTAGGCCTGTGCATATATGCACCTGCCACCTGTGTGTATGCATGCCAGCCAGGAGGGTATGTGCCAGGCAAAAGCGACATGGGCAAGTCCCTTAGCTGTTTTAGGAAGACTGCCCTTACCGGCTTTCAGGTGTGTGTACATGTGGGGTGTCCGGCAGCAGGGGCTCTGCAGCTGGCCCTCCAAGAAACAAGTGTGGCAGCACTGGGAGCAGGCAGAGTTGGCGGGGAGGCATGTTATGCACACCACCGGACATGCCTGCACCATTCCATGTGGCTGGGACAGGTAGCTGCCTGGTGCATCCAGCATGCCTCTCCCCTGCACCTCTGCCATGGGCTACTGCCACGGGGTAAGAAAGGTGAAGAGGGTGTGGGGTGGTTACTGCCAGACACCATCAGCCCACCTACTCTGTCCAATCTGTTTTTGCTTGCCATTGGGGAACAAGTCACCGGTACTCATCTCAGCCCCCTCTCAGGTCTTGTGCTCTTGGCCTGCACATGGACCACATTCCTCTCACACACCTGATGCAGCTCAACACCACTATGGGCTGCCAGCAGCTCACGCAGGTCTACTAGGCCACTGCCATCATCACCTGTGATTGCGTGCCTTCCCCCATCTCTGATGGGCATGGGCAACCATGGCACCAATGGGGATTCAGCTTTCCTCACTCACAGTGGCTGTCTTTTGCCTGGGCCTGGGCCTGCTCTACCACCCCTACTCAGCCTTTCTAGCTGGCTGCTTCGCCTTCTTTGGGCTGGGTGGGTCTGCTGAGTGGCAGTGGTGGCAGCCCACAGTGGGGCCGAGGTGCATCAGGTATGTGAGGAGAACACACAGGCTAAGGGCAAGACCTGCAAAGGGGCCAAGATGACAGGTCTCCAACTGCAAGCCAAAACAGACAGTGGGATGGAATAAGCGCACCCAGCAGTCTGCATGGACAGCCAACCCAGTGGTGGGATTCAGAGCCACAGCGTGTGCCAGCTAAGGGAACAGCAGACTGCAGCTACAACCAGAAATCAACTCACCCATCCCCCGTACACAAAGGGCAGCAAGCACAGGGTGGCAATCGGTTTCTGGCTATAGCTGCCCTGCCTCACCTCACCCCATCCTGTGGGACAACCCTCCCAACCCCCGTCCCACCCACTGGAAATCCCTGAATTCCCTCCCCAACCCAGCCCAATCCCCACAGGTACCACACACATGATTGATGTCAAGCTGACCACATCCCCGAGCCACGCTCCTTCAGCCACCCCGACCATGCCCCTCCTTTTCCAACAGCAGACAACTACAACACTCAATGAAATCAAGTTTGACACCCCTGGCCTACAACATCTCTTTAAAAGAAAACAAAGTAAATTGAGAATGTGCAAATGTTTGTAAAATGCAAACTGCAATAGTACATGTACAAAGGGCAAAAGTACTAAAATGGGCTTTGTAGATTTCTAGTGCTTCATTATCAAAAATAAGAATCAGACCTCAGAGAAAATACATACAATGACTACTTTACTTTCAGCACTTGACAGTTCTTGATAAAAAACCATTTCACTATTGTTTGGAATCCAAGACCACTTGTCATGTGCTGCTGATTTTAGATTGTAATTAAGACGAATCCTTTTTATGGGCATTGGTAAGTAATGAAACAAGATCTTAGATAATTTGAATTGGAATGTTTCATTAAAAACATTATATAATTGTTAGCTACAATTGGAAATAAGGTGTTAGAAGAATCACCCCCAAAATACTGCCTAATTTGGTAAAGGAAATTTTAGACTACACAGTTGTAAAACTTAATAATGTAATTAATATATCTTGGAATTTTGAAATTATATGTTGTTGACTTAGTACCAGGCAAAGAACATTATGGAAATTTATATTGCTCTATTAGCAACAATTTTTTTCTGAATTTTAAATTTATATTTTCCTATAAATGTTTTCAGTTAGATTTTAACTGAGACAGTCATTTAAAAAAATACAGATGTTTCCTCCATTGTGGATGAGTGAAGGAGTGAGGCTGGGTATTTGGTTTTGTTTAACAACACTCCTTCAAGATCTTTAATATATAATAATGAAGTTATAGTCTTGTTCATTTTCAGCGTTTTGGTGTATAGCATCATTATTTTTAAGATAGTCTTTCTCAGCTTGTATTGCTCCATATGTGCTGAACAATTCTTCCAATGCCCCAAATGACCAAAACTCAAACTAACCCAAATACTAATTTGGAAAATATAGACTAGTATATCTGGAGAAACCTGCTCTAAATAATAATAACAAACTCCGTAACAGAATAGATTAATGGAGTATTATTTCATATGCATTCATGTAGAAGGGATGTTATGTAAGCCTTAGCTAGGTTTTGCTAACACAGTGGAACTTTTTCTTCTCAAATAAATAGAGATACCATTTGATACCTCTGTTGAGATTGGCAAGACTTCATTTGCAGTCTAATAACACAAGGCATAAAATCCACTCCAACTCTATCATATGCAGAAATTGATACAGTTCCTTCAACAGTGTATTGTTCTAGAAGACCAAATTCTTTGCAGAGGTTTATAAATAGCTGCTACTTACGTTCATCTGGATACTACTCAAAGACATATATAAAATATACTTCTTGGGAGGGCAGGAGAGAGACTCATTGTTGATTCAAAGCAATCTTTTGAACAAGATCAAAACTTTGAAGAAGCTCTGCAGCAATAGAAATGGAAGGAAACTTAAATGTCAGCTTAAATTTCTGAATTTTGTTAGGTGAGTCAATGTTGCTTAGATTTGCATTGGATTGACATGACTACATTTTTTTAATTGTCCTGACTGGGACTTTTGGTATTTCCAGGAAGTATTTGGTAGCCGCTACAATGTTATTAAGACAGAACTATTAGAAAGATATTTATAATTGGTTTCCATGTGTTATTTTGATACAAGGATGTCACTACTACTGCACCTGGAAAAACACATGGCAGTCAATTCTAAGACTACTTTTGAAAATATTGCTAATGGATATATTATTGCGGGGAGGGTGTCAAAGGATAGATTGACAAAAGCAATGTTACACTGCCATGATGCAAATCCTATCTCTTTTATACATATGGCATATGATCACATCTACAACCAAAAGAGGTGGATTTTGTGGTACAACTGCATGATGTTGCTTTCACAACTGATGAAAAACAGGAAGCTTCTACAGATACCCATGTTTTTCTTTATGCAAATTAAGTAGTAACTGCAAAGAACTAATGTAACACTGGAATTGAATCTGTGTTTTCTAGCATTAGATTACTGTAAAACTAGCAATTATAGAAAAAGAGTAACTACACAGAATGTAATAGTGATGAATACATACAATTCCTGCTATTGACTATTCCGATTCATTTTTATGCCCAGGTGTCTAAAAAGGCTGTAACAAAATACAATGTGTCAATGTGATAGAGCAGTGGTCCCAACCTTTCCAGCTCCACGGGCCAGCAGCAGTGGCACAGGCAGGGAGAGGATGGTTTCGCGTGCAGAATCTAGTTCCTGTGCATACACAAATGAAACTTCACACGTTTGCCTGTCATTTGTGTGGCTCAGTTCTCAATGAGCCACAGACCAATACTGGTCCACAGTCTGGGGATTGGGGACTCCCGTGGTAGAGCAACATAAAAATCAAATATGTATTTTTAATTACCTAGTGAGACAATTTGCATTTAAAGAGGGTTTTAGTGGTGGAAGTGAGGAATATGTAAAAGAAAAATGAAGACAAACAACACAACAGCACATTTTTCCATATACATGCTACATTAGAAAGTGATGATGAACCAGTGACAGTATTTTACCCAGAAAACACCGATTTCACATATGAGAATGAAATGAAACTGAACATCAATAGCGACCCACATTAAGAATTACCTGAACTGAAAAGTATACACTGTGAATGCAGAAATACATTCTGTGTAATATCCACTTCCAGATTTCCTTACAGAGTTGAAAAGACCATACACTATGAAATGTTGTTTATAACAGTTTCATGAAGCCTACTATAAAATACATTATTGCATACATATTTAGAGATGTCATAGGTTAATTATCTTTTGAACTGTTCAGTTATGGATTCAAACTTATTTACAGTAGCACTACCCTACCAAGAGAAACATTTGTATTGATGCAAAGACAGTATATGAAATGCCTGCCCCACAAAAAATACCAACTTAAAACACTGAAGATGGGAAAATGTTAAAGAAAAAAGATATGAAAACATATAGAACCATTTCCTTCTTATGCTTAAAGCTTCTTTTTTGGAAAATATTTAAAATATTTCAGATCTCTCAAAAGTTGATCTCTTATTTTCCAGCCATATCATTTACTTTTTAAATGATATAGAACATGCTACTAGATTTCTTGATTGAGAAGATAATACCTGAGGAATCCAACTCAAGCATCTAATTCCAGAAGAGGTGGCTTGCATTATGTATATATAATTATGAATACTTTGCTTGAGTAAGTTTCTTACTGGAATATTTATTCTTATCTATTTTGATATTTTATTAATATTGGCAATTACAAACAAACTAATGAAGCTTATTGTTCATAAATTCTTGCTATACTATATGGATTTATAATTTACACTTTTACCCACTGCATCTTGGCAACGGATTACAATAGAAGCAGTAAAAGAAATCAATGCTCAAAGAGTACAGTAGGAAAATGGGAGAAGCTTATTGTTCTAAAGGAATGTTCTAATATTCACTAGCATTAAATAGCTAAAGAAAAAACAAGACAAACATTTATACAGTACATCCAAATCAACAGTATTTGTAGGAAAATTCTTTCAATAGGAATACCATTGAAAGAGGAGACCAAAGCATTTAATGCATGAAAAATCTGATAACAAGTAAATATTAACTAAAATAATCTCCCAGTCTGCTACATCATAGCTACACATTTGACAAAAAGATAACACAAAAATAGATTTACCACCCAATGTTTCTCTATTCTCTTAGGCAATTTTATTGACAGGTGCTAGACTGAAACCAGAAAAAAGTTAATTTCACCACCCAAAAAGTTAATTTCACCATAGAAAAATCTATACATACAAAAAGCTTCCATTCATTACAGTGAAGAGGAAAGAAAGCTTGAATTAATATGCATAAGCAAAACTCTAGAACCTCTCCACTGAAACATCACTACCTTCAAACGATACCTAAGTAGTTACCAGCTTTTCTAACTTTAGTAATTATAAATTAAGTGTCTTCTAAATAAAAGTAAGCTAGCACAGAAATTGGGAAAATAAAGGCTGCCTATCCAGTTTCAATTATGGTCTTCCCAATTCACATCTCATTCAGTATTCTAGGCTACATTAAACTGGGAAAAATAAATTAAATTAGATCACAACAGTGTCCTCACCAGGAGGAACATTAAAAAGAAAACACTAAATATACTAGCAGCACTGAAGTTCTGGTCTTGATATGTACCAATAATATAAGCTTAGGGAAGCTGCAACCTCTAAGAGATGTGCAAATCAGCCCTTGCTTTCAGGTATAAAGAGATCAGGTTACTCAAGCTTAAGAGAATGTTTGAACCATTACTTTCATTTATCAAAGGACTGTCTTTTTCAAAGGATCTTGTTAATAATCAAACATTTCCTGTACCAGCACTGATGCTGCTTTTACAAGAGTTTATTTCCATGTATTAAAGGAATGACATAGACCGAAATGTCATCTCCTGAGCCCAGTCGGTCATTGGATATCCTCCAGCCTCTGTCCTTCAGCACTCCCCTAGCTCGCATTACCAAATCCTGAGCTGCTAGTGTGTACCTGTAAGCAAAGAAGGAAAAGCCAATATTGAAAACTGCTGTCAAAAAGGATCTTTATTGTTTGAAAGAATGGCCCATATTAATCACCATAAATTTGCTTTATTAACATTCAGATTTTGCTACCTTATTCATAGTCCTCAGCCAGGACCAAATGTTCTGACTATTTTGAAAAATGTTATAAACTCAACAGATAAGAACATAGTTTGCACACAATTTCCACTGTGGAAGGAAAAAGTATTCCAATCTAAACATTGCAAAGCTATTTACCCTTGGGATCTTGAGCAAGGTAAGACATGTCTTACCAGGCATTAGGAAACTTAATTATGATTACATGAGGCAAAGCTGCAAACCTGAAGTGCCCAGATTAAACTAGAGAAGATAATGAGAGATCTGTTATTACATTTCCTGCTACCAGTATATTAGAGATATCCAAACTGCAATGGGGCTTAAATGCTACAAAAGAAGGGAACTGAATCTTCTCTCCATTTTGGAAAACATGTATTATTAATACAAAGTATCTATCCTTTGTCTAATGTCTATAAACTTTATTTTTTTTCTCAAGAGGAAAGAGACCAGGAAGAGACCATTTATCCTGCATCTTATAGCAGAAGACCAAAGAATAATTTACACTGCAAGAGGCAACTAATCTGGCATAACTAAATTAGTGATATACTGATATATATGTAGCAGAGTATTCATCTGTTTCAGATATTCTGGGCTTTATTTCCCACAGTTTCTATTCTTGCCCATACTAGTTAAAACCAACAAATTCAAAGCATCTGGAACAAGCCAAACTGCTTACTTGTGATCTAGAATAAGTATAACCAATACAGTGGAACTACTGATACAAAATGCTTGTAATCTTTCATGCTTTAAGTGTAGTGAAAATTCTTGAACATAGTAAGGAATTCTCAATAGTTAAAATAAAAATATACAGATATTACAGAAAAAACAACACTAAAATTAAACAAGAGCAAGCAAATGGCAGTAAAAAAACTGATAGAAAATATGTAAATAATGAAAATCTAAATAATGAAAAATAAGAAAAGCATGTAAATAATGAAGGCTGCTTTTCTTTCTTGGCAATGCACGAGCAGGATGTTCCGAGTAATCTGAGGATTAATATCAATAACAACATTACATCATGCTTTCTCCTCTAATGTAGTGAATTTGAGATGCAACTTTTAAAGCAACTTTACAAAATTGCTGAAGTATCTTTCAAGCAATCAGTCGTCCCTAATGAAGTACCTAATTGGTATGGCACTTCAGAATATACATTTGCTTCTCCCTTAAATTTATTGATCGTGGAACCACTGCAGACAACAAACGGCACTTCAGGCAAGCAATCTGAACTGACCATTTTTATTTATTCCCTTGAAAAAGAAACACCAGTGCAAACAATAAGCAGAAAGAAAAATGAGATACATCTCTCATTTGAACTCTCTTTAAGATCTACTCCTATAATATCACTAATAAGTGACAATATACAAGTAGATCTTAAGGACAATTTAAGAAAAAAATTGACCAAAAGATATACTCAAATTTCAGAATACTACATTGGTATCTTGAGCAAGGTTGTTGCTTTATTGACACCTAGGATATCTTTTACTAAATAAGATTGTGGACCTCATCAAGTGTGTTTCTGCACATGGGCATATCTGTGTATTTGTGCATGCATGCATGTATATGTATGCATACATACAGGCAATGATATTGACAAGAACATCATTTAAAATAGTTTATCAGAAATAACTGTGTTTGGATGAAATAAAAGAAGTTCACAAATCTAAAAGAAGGCATGTGAACAAGTGATCTAGTTGAAAATTTGCAGAAATATCTCTTACATCTAAACCATTTCTCTTGTTTTCAAATCTAATAACTGCCCTGAGGTACAGTACTTGCATATAATACTTAACACTCTTACTTTGTTTGGTAATAACTAGTCTACTTCTAGGTAGTTTATTAAAGCTGGATGTTTACTAGGAACTAAATTTAAGCGTGCATTGCAGTACAAAATCTACCAAACAGAATCTTGTACAATTTATTCATTTTGATATACATTAGGATTACAAAAGTGCTCAACTGTCAGTATACCTTTTCAAGTTCTGAAGTTATGAATCAATTCAGATATTATGTCCTGTTTAATATCCCTTTCCTACCCAAACTGACATTTATTACAAATTCACATACAAGAACTATTAACTAGATGTTTGTTTATATTCTAGGATTTATGTGTGCTTGCATTTTTCTGAATATGACCATGCAATCAGTCCATCAATCACTGCTATATGCAGGCATTCATCTTTGTCTTTAACAAAGTGAGTGAATATCAGAAATGGAAAGCAGATCAGCTTAAATGTTTTTAAAAATTGATCTTCTTCCCTACAGGGCATAGGATAGCTTTGATCGGCTTTTAAGCAATAGCTGAAGTTCCTAAATCTATGCTTCACAAAAGCGCATCTCTTTTCAGGATTCAGAAATCAGTAAAATTTGCTTTGGTTCAACCTGAACTGACTCCAATCACATTTTTGTTTACAGTCCATTTTTTATTTGCATATATTTGTATTCACTTTAAAATTTTAGAACTAAAATTAGCCTCTTGTGAAATACAATACGAAAACCATGCTGAAAATGCTTTTGGTTCTAAGTGGTAAGCAAATATTATAACAAAATACCCTCAATATTATCCTCAGGAAAAAGCAGGACAATTTCAAAGATAGCTTACAGAAGAGAGGTTACATGCCTGTGTGGATCATCAGGGTCACAGTTTGGCAGGAAATTAGTGATGGCTTCTGCTACTTCTTCATTTAATAATACATCCCAGAGTCCATCAGTAGCTAAGGTGAGTACATCATCCGGTCCATGTTCATACTGGAGAAGATCATAAACTCTTACCTGAAAAATAATCCATGGAATGGGAAAAGATAAGAGCTTTTAGGGAATAGCCATTATTGTCTACCTTTTTCTAGACCTTTTTCCATTATCAATAAATGAACATTTGGGCCTATAATTATCTTCCAAAGTAAACTGTCCCCAGTCTGTTCCAATTTACTTTCCTCTGGATGTTTTGTAGTCTAATCCTCGTAATTTCAAGTTGACTTAAGGTAGGGGGAATAGTCCAAATCAAAAAGGGAAAACACAGTTCTTCCTGGAAGAACGGAAGAAAAGCCATACTTCCCTTTGAAAGAATTCAGGGACCAGAATCTATAAACAAAACAAAACAAAAAAACCCTTTCACCTCAAAAATAAATTTATCAGGAAAACATTACGAAGTTTAGATTTCACATACTTCCATGTTGAAAAAATAGAGACTCATTTAAAATTATTCTTACATGCAGATTATATTCTTTATGTTTTTCAATTGTCTGTTTTGTAAAGCACTAGCTTCTAATTGCCTACACATACTCCTAGCATTGTCAAATCACCTGATTCCTTGATTTTAAAAAAAACCATTGAATTATCAAGGATTTTAATTACTTCATCACTGACTATTTTTAAAGAAGTGCAGTAACCTTACCACAGCAGGTAAGACGAAATTACCATTTAGACCAGGATTCAGAAAAACATGTACCTGGTCTATAATATCACATTAACCTTGTAGTTGACAGTTGGCAGCTTGGGATATGTTTTGACAATGCAAGAAAAGGGCCATTCATGATATTTTGTGTTTTATTCATATTTAAAATCTAGGACAAAGAAACAGAATTTCAACACTTTAAGAAGTTTGGTTTCAATACTTATTGTTTTCCTGTTAAATAACCCCAAATAAAGTTTAAAAGAATTATCATTTTAATTGATCTGCTGAAATGGGAAAATCAATGAAGTATTTAAATTCTGATGAACTAGTCAGTCGTATCCAACTCTAGGGCACAATGCTCATCTCTGTTTTTTGGCTGAGAGTGTCAGTATTGTCCAAAGACAATTTCTGTGGTCATGTGATCAACATAGCTATATGCCAAAGGCACGTGGAATGCTGTTATCTTCCACCAAAGTGGTACCTATTAATTTACTCACATATAATTATTCAATCCTCATTAAAAGTATCAAAATGGTAGAACTATAATCCAGAAGTTGGAAAGCTCACTACTAACACACATAACTTGTATATTTTCTCCCCTTCAAGAATCTATTTAGTTTCCTAGAACCCTAAAAGACACCATACTGAGGACATATTTGCTTTAGCCTTTTTATAGCAGTATAGTGTTAACATGCTGACTAATGCAAAGTTGCCCAAGAACCTTCATTTCAATGTAGTCTTTATTTAAAGGATTTTTGAAGTTTGGACATAGGAAAAACAAAAACCAACACAAACCAGGAAAGTGAAGGGATCTAATAATGTGATTAAGCTGCAACATCTTGGAGAATTGCGTTATAGCTTTTAGCTTTCTAATGAACCCTGCATAAATAGTGTATATGCAATATCTAAACGCTATTCTGCAAGGCAAAATTGGGTCATTTAATTTCTTGGACCAATAATGAAGTGAATTAAGAGGTCAAAAATTAGTACCAAATATTCAACTCATTTAAAACAAATTACTAAATTTGTGGCATTTGAAAACATCAACCAAATTATAATTAGATTTATTAAAACAAGTGATTGGTAATATTTGCTTCATTTGTTTCATTAAGTAAAAGCTAAACATATTGTATATAATCACAGGGTCATACACACAGCTGCCTTAAATTGACTCCATGTAGAGAAGATAAAGAAGAAACCACTTACACTGATGGCATGCTTTTGATCACCTAGTAGGCAATTGGGAGTATCATGTCTTAGAGGCAAAAAACTGTAATATGTGTCTTAATAGTTCACCGATTCTAGGTCATTCTTGGCAGAAAACAATTTATAAAAATAGAATTTCTTCATCTTTTGCCCACCCTTTCAACCTTAAAACATCAGTTTCAATAGCCTGAAGGAATTGCTGCTCCTAGAAAAAGCTATGATGTCTTTGACTAGCCTTCTATATTATGTGTACATATGTCAGAGCCTTTCAAGGCATTTAGCTCCACAATTTAAAAAAACAAATGGGCTTTCTAAACGACTTCATATCTATTTATTTACATATATCTTCCTTTTCAATTGGAAAGACTCATAAAGATTTTCAGATAAAAACAACACTAATATCATTTTTTTTAAAAAAAGAGACAGATTATGTACGCAGATTTATAATAAAAAGGTATGACTCGCTCACTTGCTGTTAATAGTTTTAGGTTAGAAAGCCTACACTATATAAGTCCCACTAAATATTTGGTTTGATCATCTGTTCCTTAAGTAATAATATTTCTTAACTCAAGTGTTTTTAAATCTTTTACAGGCACAATAATAATACAAAGAAAGTATATACATGTTTCGTTGGCTTTTAAAGAAAATATTGGTTTAATTCATGTTCCCCTATAATAGATATATATGAATGTTCTACCTCTGGTGAAGAGGACAAAAAAGGTTTGATGTAGATGTTTGAGTCATGCACCTTCAGGTCATGATCTCCAAGTCCTCTTGTAACTCCAATGGTTGCCATGACACGAGCCTAGGAAGAGATAAATATCATAAAAGCATGAGAAGACTGGAGAAGACTAGGGGAAAGATTCCTGAACAAGAAAAAAAAACCCTTAAGTATACATAGTAAAAATAATAGAATTAGGTATTATTGAATGGCTACCACTTTAAATAATTCCAAAGGAGCTATTTGTCCTAAGTGCTGTATTCTATCATTTGACATTAAGTAGCATACCTTAAATATCTACAGTTGAAGAAAGCTGTCTTATATATCAGAACAAGGGCTAATTAAAAGTTTTCTTCTCAAATGTCAAGTAGATGTCAACTGACAGGGCACTAGAAAAGAACATAAGCATGTCTTTGGCCATGTGACTTTCCTCATATACACCTTACAGTTTAGTGTTTGCTACCACTAGGAGGAGTCAAAATTAGCTGTCAAAAATTCCTACTATAAACCGGTGGTTCTCAAACATTTGGTTTCAGCAGCCCTTTACCTTCTTAAAAAATGATTGAGACCCCAAAGTGTTTTGATTTATGTGGGGTATATTTATCAATATTTACTATATTAGAAATTAAAACTGAGTTTTAAAATATTTGACGTTGTGGATCTCTAGAGGCCCTCTGGCCATACTTCGAGAACCATTTATATAAACCAATATTCTTTTTTTGCAATCTAAAGAGAAAACAGAATTTGGGTCTTCTTTCAAAAAAATTGTCACTTTTTAACATCACTGTTATGAAACTGTAATCTCCAATTCCCCTAGATACAGCGTGGAACTCTTCAGATTACTTTTCAGAGATACTAAATTCTTCTAAAATATGTAGCAAATAGGAAGAACTGTTACAGAGAAAAGTATACATACATAGGGCAAAAAAAGGGTGCAGAAATACTGTTGAAAAAACAAAATTCTCATCAAAATATACATGTAAGCTGTAGCAGAGCTGACCAGAACAGTCCGACCAATGCAGAAGTTCATATGATTAATTGAAATAAGCAATCAAGCCACTAGAGAAGGGCTTATAAATGTGATGAGCAAACAAAAGCAATCTTGAGATCACAGAGTCCTCACACTCCTCATAGATCCACATCTTTAGAATTATAGGGGTCAGTGCTAATAATTTATTTTCTAATTTTCTATTTGGCAATCGGTTGCTATTCTGACAGAATTATTTCTCTGTTTTTGATCCACATCCCTGAAAGAAAATTTTATTCCAAGAATGAACTGTGAATGCAGCCCAAAAAAATCCCTAGTAACTAGAAATTCAATAGGCATCCTTATTGCCCTAAACTTATTTGATCTCTACAACTCTCCAAAATTGCACAAATCCAAAAAGTTTATTTTTCCCAGTTTAAAAGATCACTTATACACTGTAGAATCAAACTGCAGAACTGCCTATCCAAACTTTTTTTTTCTTTTCAAAACCCCTCTATCCTAAACTGCCTTCAAATGCATACTTATATAAAGCAAACAAAAATCAAAATAAAACAGTTCAGCAATAAAAGTAATGAAACTTGCTTTTTTTCTGTAACAGGCTTCTTGTTTGTCATGGAACACAGGAACTGAATTATTAGAAACAAAATACTATTTTAAATTGTCAGAAAAATAAAATAAAGTGAAGAAAGTAGAAAACTCCAAACAACTTGGGGCTAAATTGAGTAGTAAATATGATGCAGCATTCAGGTTCCTTTCACACAAGGTTTATTCCTACCTTCTTGCCTTCTCCATATATAAGGGGAAACTTCAAGTCATCCTCTTCAATGGTTTTGTATGCCCTGCGGAAGGAATAACATAATTTTATAAAACTTGGACTCAAGTATCAGTCCAGTCCTTTAACACTATTTTCTCCCTGTTCTCTTTCTCTGTGTATTCATTTGCTTCATCTTTGCAACATATTCCCATGTTTTTCTCTCCTCTTTTAAGCCCCTCCCTTAGCTTATACAGCTTGTACAAATATAAGGAGTGTGATGAAAATTTTACAAATAAAAATATATTCTTTGGTATAATAAAAGATGGGAAATTAAGCTAAATTCCTTCCTGATTATCCCAACTGCTGGCCCAGCACCCCCAAATTAGTGATACAAATGCATAAAAGGATGAAGATCAAAGAGGGTGATGAAGCAAGTTAGCAAAAACAGGGAGACTGAAAGAACAGCAGAAACAGGAGGATAAAGGCAAGGAAAAAGCAAGAGGGACTTCAAGAGGCAAAGAAATATATTAGTGTTAAACTGGTTAAATGGTCTCAAATTTGTAGTCAGTCACTAATCCTGAATATGATTAAGAAAAAGAACAAGAAATAATCCTGCGAGTTCTCATTTGGGGAGTTATTATCCTTTTTTTTCTCCATTATGGTAGAGATATCATCCAGAATTGGGTTGTCAGTCACTGCTAACTGATTGGACTGAGTCTGTCAGATCTGTGAGGACACTCCCCTGTCGCTAAGGGTGCCCCAGAAATTGATTCATGACATGTTTCTTTTTTTTTTCCAACAAATTTTATTCAATTTTTCACATAAAAACAAAAAGCTCTTTTTAGTGGACAACATACTTCCAGGTCATCACTTTTACATACAAATATGAGAATAGTTATACATTCATATATGCATACTTAATTCTATTATTACGTTTTCCATTCCAAACTTTCAGAAACTTTCCTTCTTTCTTCTTCCAGTTTTCTAAAGTTCTCAATTGTTCCAGCCCAGGGTCTATACCAAAAACATCAATCAATCCCCCAATCAGTCTTTCCTTGCTTCTTTCTTTATTCTGGTTCAGCTTTCACTTTCTAAGATTCTTACTTTGTTTCAATATTTCTTTAACATTATATCAACACCAGTTCATACAGAAACAGGATGCTTTCCCTTTTGTTTGAGTTCAAGTTTTTGTCAGAAGATGGCACTCTCCGTTATGCAAAGTCTTCGCCTTTTCCCCCTATTTTTTATTTAGGGTTTTTTGAACCGCAATATTCCAGCACAATCCAGTCTCCAAATTGTTGTTGTTGTTGTTGTTGTTGTTATTATTATTATTGACAATCTTAAGTCCAGCTTTATTTTATGCCTGTTTATTGCCAAAATATTTTAGTCCAGTTTAATTAAATCTTTAGTTCCGGCTTCTTCCTTTCCCAGTTCGAAGCCCCGCTTAGCTGTCAAAATTATTTTCTTATTTTTTTTCCTGTCCCTTTGTATTTTTGCCGCTCACTTTTCTTTTCTTAAAAGTTCAATGTTACCAACTAAACTTTTTGTTTAATTGTTTCGCCCAATTGTCCCGGTTCAGTTGTTATCCACCTCTTTCTTCCCTCCTGCACAAATCTTAGTCCAGCTGAGTCCTCCTCTTCGGGGTGGCCATTTTGGACCACCGCTTCAGTCGTCTTCGGGGGGAAAAAGACCAAGCCCAGGAGGGGAGAACTGGTTATAAATGTTGAATAAACAAACAAACAAATAAATAAAAGAATAAGATCAGAGAACAAAGATGGACTCCACTGCATAATTTTTCTTTGCAATGGGATTTTTCCTCATTATTTTCTCCAACAGTTTCTGCACACTTTGTAAACTTGTCCTCTGGACTCACTTCTGAAATAGGACATGTAAGAGGGAATACTACTACTCCCCCATTCTGTAAAGAGATCATTAAAATTCCTCGGTAGTTTCTGTCTCAAAAATGTGAATTCTGAAGTGTTGATTCCCAATGTAATCATATCAAAGAAATATTTTCTCCCCCCCCCCCACTTTGTAGAGCAGAGAGATTACAGAGAAAGCGATTGCAAGGCAATCTGGGGCTGGGACCTGCAATGTGCTATGGCTATGCAAAACACTCACTCTTGAAATTTCTTTCTGCCCAAGGGGGAAAAGGGTCAGGTAAAGGAGAGATTGCCAAGAGAAATCATTTGTTTCCTAGCTTCCAGCAAAAAGAGCGTAGCTGTGGCTACTAACTCCAGGTTGCCGAAGCAATCTCATTGTTTTTGATGTGTATAAGACTATAAGCAGGAATTTGAGCGCTCTAAAGGGAATGGCAAGAAAAGGAGGCAAGAAGCAGAGATACAGTTACACGATTTCCCCCGTAGTGATTGCCAGTACTAATTATGGCTATAAGCATAACTGTGTTTTATTACGTTTTATTATTATTACATATTTACTACAAAAAGGTACATGTGTACATGTGGGTAGTAACCCCACCCCCCCAAAACCCTCTCATTTTCATCCCAGAATGTTGACTTTAGATTTATTTTTCTTCTCAAACTTGAGCACCGATGTGTGTGTTTTCTCTCTCTCTCTCCCCCTCCCCCCCCCTCACACACACACACACAAATGTTTGCTTTTATTTGTTTATTAGAAAGGAAATAGGCAGGATTCTAAAACAGTTTGTCACCAAGATCAAGATTTACACTTCTAAAATAAAATTTAGATTGTATAGACAGCAGTGTTACTAAACTTCAATTAAAAATATTCAGCAGTAAAAGAGGAGAGGGGAAAATAGTCTCTAAGTCTAAGCGATCAGGAACTGTTAGATTGTAGCAGGACAGAAATACAATAGAGATAGTCCTTGACTTATAACCACAATTGAGCCAAAAATGACTGTTGCTAAACAAGACAGTTGTTAAGTAAGTTTTGCCTCATTTTACAACCTTTCTTGCCACAGTTGTTAAGTGAATCTGGCTTCCCCACTGACTTTGCGAGGGTGATCATGTGACTTTGAGACATTGCAACCATCCTAAATACATGCCAGTTGTCAAGCATCCAAATTCTTATCACTTGACCATGGGGATGCTTCAACAGTCTTAAGTCACTTTTTTTAGTGCTGTTGTAACTTCAAACAATCACTAAACAAATGGTTGTAAGTTGAGGAAGGAATTGTAAAAAAAATAGCAGAGAGAGGTATCTAAATAGGATAGAAAAAAGAGGGCAGGAACAAGATCAATCAGCTACTTCACTGTGAATAAGTTTCTGAATCTGTTTCTCCAGCTGCTCAGCCTAGCTGTGGCACTAAACTGACCTCCAAAACAAATAAGCAGAAGTTGACAGTGCATTTCAAAGTCAAAACTGAAATATTGAAATAAAAAAATGATCCTATGCCCTAAAACAACTTGGAAGTAAAAGCAAAATCTTTCAGGATGAAGCAATGCAAGGACCCAAACAGGAATTATCATACAGTTCTAAACTAGGCATAGCCAGATAGCCACCATAGTGTTTTCTTGCAATCTGGGGCATGGCAGCATAAATGTTGTGCTCTCCTCATTACATTTTGTCTCAAGACCTGCAAGTGGTCCTGTTCTTATGGCTTTTTAATGTGAGACACGTAAAAGGAAGTGAATTTTCACAGCTTCAAACTCAGCTAACATCACAGGGAAATAACAGCATGTCTAGCAACTCTTGGAAGCAAACAAAGAATTGCCCAAAAATGGAGAAGGGTAGGGAAAAAAGAGGACATCCGCACCAACTAGTAACAAATAGCATGGCCATGTAAAACCTTGCTGGTTACACAGCCAGCAACATTTAGCTGACAGAAACCATCACCGGCTCCAGGTTGAAATCAAATATCTAAACAGGATGCTGTTTTTTAAAGAAAGCACTAAGACTCTTTCAAAAGAAACTAAACTCGTATTTTGAAGAGGGTGGGGGGAAAAGGAAATCTAGTGCTCTCAAATGAATTTTAAACTGATATACAATTAGGATGCTCCATTAAAACTGGAAAGGGCTTCAGAAGGAACCAGGTTGCCATACCAGGGACAAGTGCTTCGGTTCAAGCAAGGCTCTATCCCCAGCTGAAACGGTCATGGACAGCAGCAGCAACCATGGAAAAGGAGCCTCAAACAGACATTTGGGCTTGGAAGCTGCTTGAGCTGCGGATCGGGGATGAGTGTAAATGTGATCATGAACTCATAGAAAAAGTATTATGTGTTCATGCCAATTTGGTGGTGACGTTGAGCCCTAAATTTTAAATGATAACTCATTCCTCATCAATTGAGAGGGTTATCTGTGAGGCTTGTTTTTTTTTTCTCCAGCTCATCCTGCCCCAATGCCACTGTTTCTGTTCCTCTGCCACGTGTGCAACTACAGAAAATAAGCTCATTTGTCACTGCCAAGAGATGTGCAGAATACACGGAAGGTCAGATCCCTCTTCTTGGAGCCACGGCTGAAAATCTTGAGCAAAACGCAGGTTGTATACACCCATTTATCATCACTGAACCAGACTCCCCCAAAAAATCCATGAAGCTCTATGCCACCTGCATACACAGTTAGAAATCAAACAAGACCTGGAGCCCAAATATCTCCATAATATTTCTAGTGGGTTTTTTTCTCTGTTTGCCAGTTAGTGGAAGCTGTAGCTACTATTACGTTAAAAAAAATCATCCTCAGTTTTACGTTTGTCTAAGAGAAAAGTTCAGCTGTCCGCCTAAATAGCTTTTAAAAAAGGGAACTACAGATAGTTCTCGACTTCCATCCACAACTGAGTTCAAAATTTCTCTTGCTAACCGGCACACTTGTTAAGTGAATTTGCCCCATCTGCCACTGTTATTAAGTGAATCAGTGCAGTTGTTAAGTTAGTAACATGGTTGTTAAGTGAATGGCTTTCCCATTGACTTTGCTTGTGAGAAGGTCACAAAAAGTGATCAAGTGACCCCAGGACACTGAAAGCGTCATAGATATGAGTCAGTTGCCAAGAGTTTGAATTCTGATAACATGACCGTGGGGATGCTGCAAGGGTTGTAACGGTGAAAAATTGTCATGGCTCACTTTTTCCAGTGCCACTGTAACTTTGAATGGTCACTAAATTAACTGTTGTAAGTTGAGGACTAGCTGTACATGGATAAAATTGTATGCATAACTGAAGCGAAAGGCAACACCATTAAGAGACAGTCACTGCTCTTTTGCAGACTTCTAAGAGATTATGCTTCTGGGAGTTGAAGTCTATGTATCTTAGTTGCTGATGTTGAGAAACACTGTTCTAATACACACCCATGCATTATATATTATCTAGGTGACTGAACCACCATTCATAGTGGGAACTGATATGGATTTGGAAACAAAAGCACAGCTCAACAAGTGAAAACAGTACACAGACAACCCTCAGTAGACTTTATAGTTGACACCCTTTCCAATCTAGCAGGAAAGACCATTGCACTTAATAAGACAAAGCAGCAGCTAATAAAATTGCTTGGTATAGACCAGGGCTGTCAAACTCCTGGCCCTTAGGCCAGATGTGTCGTGTGCTAACTACGCCCACACCCAGTTTAGTGAAGGGGGGGGGAAGTGCTAATACATCATGTGATGCCGCCATGATGCCATGGTATAGACTGAAGATAAATCCAAACCAGGAAAAGGGATGTTGCCATTTTAAATTTTATTTTGGTATTTGTGGCAAAGCTAATGGAGACTGTCAGTGGAATTTCTTTGATTAGATGACTCTCAAGAAGATGAAGCCTAACAGAACTTTAATGCTTGACTCTATAAAACTATTCATACCAGAGGACTGGAAAGGTCAGGATTGGCCTTGCCATCATCTACTTGCCTTATCTTCTTGTGAGCCAGACACAACATTGAAAGCTGAAGTCCTACAGTAACTATATTTGCAAAGCAGAGTTTCTCAATTACACAAAGGAAAAGCTGCATCGGGTGTTATATTCAGCAGGCACGTTAGGAAAACCAACTGGATTAAAATATGTTTCCAGAGAAAAATAAGCACCACCTCAATTAAAAAAAAAAGAAAATCAGAAAAAAATAAAGATGCAGAGGTAGATGTAGATGTAAACAAAGTGCTAATTTGTCACTTAGTGGCTTTTTAAAGTTACCAAAAGCTACTTACGATCCAAAGTTAAAGCTATCCCCTATGGTCCTTCATCCTTATGACTGGCCCCAAGGATGCTGCACACCTATCAACCCCCTATCCTCCCCCACCAGGGAAAAAATTACAAGACTGAACTTTTGTTTTCACCCGATCTCCCACATTTTGACACAACCAGTTTTCCACATCCACGTTCCAATATAGTGTCCTTAGTTTTGTAATTGAAATGTATATTATCATACCTTTATATTTCTAAATGTTGCATATGTACAACCACATCTGTAGGGAGATTTTTAAAGCATATTTTCCATTTTTCCCCAAAAGGGCATGCACTTACCAACCAATCATGCTGAAATCTCTATAAAGCATTCTTTTCCCAACTTCCTTTCGCTGAACTCTCCTTGGAAACTCCAAATGTGTAAACTCATTTCCCAGCAAATGGGGTTGCATATATGCCTGCAAATTAAAAGAGGACATTGACTGGGCAATCATCCCAGAAATCCATAGTTACAACTCACATTTCTCCCTTGTTTCATCAAACTATCCCCAAACCCCTGTTACACCTTTTCATTGTCAAGCGTACACAATTGCTGATCTTTCTTCTAGCATTTATGATCGGGAGAAGCTGCTTATACATTTGATCCTCTATTGAGCAGAGCAGAGCGTCACAACTCAGTAATACTAATTTGTATTTTCTCATCTAACATAAGAGCTAATAGATTCCCAATACCCTCAGCATTTCTTGGAAGATGAAACTATTGGAAAAGTGGTATCTAGACTCAGTCTCCCTTGACTGCCCAAACAGAAGTCCCATTGCCAAAACAATCTGTATCAGCCAATCCCAAATATATGAACTTTCTTTAATAAAAATGAATGGACAATTTAAAAAGTATACATATCATTTGCTTAGTTAGTGGAAAATCCATAAACTTAATAGGCAAGAGATTTCAGCCTAAAACATTTTTTTTAAGAAATTAATGAGAGCTCTTGATAAGTTGTTGTTTTAAAGCTTTCATCTTCCTCTGCTTTCTGAATGCTACTGTTTTTACTCTCACAAATCTGGTAAGACAGTTACATTTTTCTGGTCTTCAAAATTTTTTCTTTTACAAAAGAGCAAAGTAAAAGACCTATTTTGTAAAAACATATATGCTACTGATATTGAAATCTGACATGGCTTCAGTGCAGAGGTGGTATTCAGCAGGTTCTGACCAGTTCTAGAGAACCAGTAGCAGAAATTTTGAGTAGTTTGGAGAACCGGCAAATACCATCTCTGACTTGCCCTGCCCCATCTATTCTCTGCCTCCCAAGTCCCAGCTGATTTGCTGGTTCTTCTTGTTACTCTACAAAGGATCTGGAAAGCAGGTTAGTAGGGTGGGGAGGGAATGGGATTTTGCAGTAACCTTCCCCCAGGAGTAGGGAGAGAATGGAGATTTTACAGTATTCTTCCCCTGCCATGCCCACCAAGCCACACCACGCTCAAAGAACCGGTAGTAAAACATTTTGAATCCCACCACTGTTTCAGTGGATTTTCATTATAAATTTAGTAGCATGTAGATCAGTGGTTCCCAATGTGGGGCCCACACCTCACAGGGGGACAATTTGATTTTTAATGGGGGGAATTAGAAAATGAGCTATTAACTGAACTTTTGAAAGCCTGTTCTTATAAATTTGTGATGAAACAGCTGTGTTTCATTTACCTATTGTTGACTTTGTTAAAGTGCACTTCCTAGGGCCTGGTCTGAGAGGGATATCCCAGAAGGGGGAAGGAGGGAGCAGCTGCCAGCCAATCAGATGTGCTCCCACTGGGAGGTGGGGCCAGCTGTCGGAGAGAGCGGCGGTGCGAGCAATCTTCTCTGCTTCGCAAGCCACTTTTCCTATGCCCACTGAGCTCGCCGAAGCTGGTGGAAGTCCCGAAGGGATAGCTGAAAGAGTGGGGCATCCTGCGGACCATTTGCAATCGGCGGCTGGCAGCGAAGGGCAGGAGAAACCAGGATCCAAGCGGATCAGGAGAAGGCGACCAGCAATGGCCACCTAGATGATCTGATGACTGGACGGAGCAAGTGATTAATGAGCGGAACAACGGTGGTCTGAATTTGACAAAGGTATTCCCCTAGGCTTATTGAGTGAAGCGGTGGAAGGGAGCGCATATAAGAGATCAGAACCATGGAGCCTGGTGAGAGGTGAGAGCTGCGAAAGGTTTAACAGTAGCAGCGAGAGTGCTGGACAGTGAAAGAATTTGTGGAAAAGAAACCAGGAAATAATAAGAACTGAATAAAGCTGGAAGGGGCAAAAAAGAAGAGATACATAAGATAAACTTTGTAGAGCTTTAACTTTTTGGTGTTACATAGTCTGTGAATAGAAAAGAAACAAAATAGAGACTTGGAAATTTTGAAACTGTGATAATATGGAGTCTCTATAAGAACATTGACTTTGCAATATAGAGTGTGACAACTAGAGATAATGTCTAGGATAGAAATCGATATAAAGATCAAAGTAAATGTGTATATAGCTGTATAGCTGTATATATGTATATAAATGTTTATATTGTTTGGTGATATTTTGTTTATATATAAAACAATGTAAAGACTGAGATATATGTCAAAAAGACCACCACGTTCAATGTTTTTAAAGCTTAATTTCAATAAAAACTATTCGAAAAAAAAGTTGTGTTCCCACTAAGGATCATGGGACTGGCAGTGTCTTTCTCTCTTTCCTGTGGGCTTTGCTGCTGGGTGATTGCAGGGAGAGATGCTCTGTGGGGAGCTAGAGTAGATGGCTGTTGGGGAAGCCCAGCAGTGAAGATGTTAGGATTCCAGCACATAACCCCATTTATATCATGAACCTCAAGTAAAACTTCCAAAACTTCAAAAGGATTTATTGGGAGTTTAAAGATGGGGCATTGCCTGGGTGTAGCTGATTCTGAGACACATCATTCATTGTCACCCTCGACCCTGGTTTTCCTCTACCCCCTGGGTGTAGCATAATTCATATTCTCCAATGGGATACATAAGCGCACCAACGTGCTACCGTCCCTGTCCTATTGTTTCTTTTTATTTCTCTTATATGTATCCATTTCATGTATTCATAACTATGTTTATACTTATACCTATTATCTTATAATCGCTTGACAAATAAATAAAATAAATCCATATCCAAGAGTCATCAATCATGCTCATGATTAGAAGCTTGATGATGCTTCTAATCAGTTAGAATTTTGCGCGGCAGAAACTTTGGTCACCTAGTTACTATCTTGAAAACATTTATGGAATGCAGTTTCGGCTGCAAGCTGTCGCACTGCTCCCCCCTCCCTTTGCTGTTGGCAACTCTAAAAGACCATAGAATGATTTTGAGTTGACAGAGGATACAGAACCAGGACCCAAGTTTAAGTAAGAAATTGTTAGATTTACAGTTACTTTTAGTCTGTGTTTTCAAAACCAAAATATAAAAAAAGACCAAGAGGAATTCGGAATTGAGATAGAACCAAATCAGTTAGATAAACTAATGACAGCTACAGAGGAAAAATTGATATCAAAGATTTATAATTATTTATTAGAATATGATTTAGCAGAAGAAATAGTGAAAGGACCGATGATAGCGTGGGCCATGAATTTGGGACATAATATAGAATTGGAGGATTGGGAAAAGATTTGGAAAAAAAATTATACGATAACAAAATCAGCGGCATATAAAGAAAATCAATATAAAATGTGCTATCAGTGGTACCTAGCCCCTTCAAGATTGGCTAAAATGTATCCTAATTTAAATCCAAATTGTTGGAAATATAAGCAAATACAGGGTACCTTCTTTAACGTATGGTGGCTTTGTCCAAAAGTTAAGAAATATTGGACCAAAATATGAAAATGGTCAAAAGAAATTACAAAAGTCCAAACAGAATTTAAAGCAGAATTGTTTCTTTTGGAAATCATTAAAGGGAATTATACAAAAGAGATAAAATATGTAATCCTGCATATTATAACAGCAGCGAGATTAGCACTCACACAATGTTGGAAAGGAGATTCGATGTTGACAGATAGTTTAATTATCCAAAAGATCTTTGACTGTGCGGAAATGGACAAACTTTCATTAGAATTAAAAGAGAAGGATGATTCAGTTTATTATACAGTATGGGAAAATTTGGATAAACAAAAGAAATAAACAAATAAATAAGGAATGCATAATTTAGAAACACACACACACACACACACACGAATAGGCAGGGGTGGGATCCGACAGGATTAACTACCGGTTCAGTGATTTATGAGGTTCGGTGATTTACGATGTGCTTCCCTGCACGCACGCCTGTAAATCGTCATCAGCCTGGTGCCTGGACAGCTGAGCAGCACTGCGTGCCGAGAAGCAGCCTTTGAAACAGTACTTTTTTCCTGCTTCTTTAACTGCAGCTGTGCCTCGCTCGGCAGCTGAAGTTGAAAAAGCAGGAAATAAAGGTCAGGTAAGATGAATAAAGGCAGTCAGGTGGGCAAAAACATCAGCAGACATAGAACCGGTTCTATGTCTGCTGCTCTTTAGAGCTACCGGTTCTACAGAGGTGGACAGAACTGGTAGAAAGCCACCCCTGCAAATAGAAGTATAAAATATGCACTGGAATAACAACTGAAATGCAAGCACTATTAAATTGGATTGTAATATACATAACACTTTTATTTTAAATAATTGTATTGTATGTTGTATTTTAATGTTTTAATTTTTCAATAAAGGCTTATTTTTTAAAAGGACATAATAGGATTAGCCATCTACCCATCTCACCATATGGCACCTGGGAAGATTACATCACCCAGCAAGATTTAACCAAGCCTGGGACTCAAGACAACCTACAAAGTTATCCATGCATTGCCCCATGGGAGTCTGACAACTAATCAGAATACATTTATTTCACAGGAACAGGAAGCAAGTTCAAAGCCCAAGAGAGGGTATAATTATATCTCACTCTCCACTCCATGTAGTCAGCTACCCAGGACTTCAAACCATGTGGTCCTGTCCACCATTAAACCATCTTTCCAATCAGCCTCCATGTTTCCAGTGTCTTTCTTCCCACTTAGAACTGAACCCAGATAGACATTTCTTCCAACACCTTGGTTTTAAAAATCCATTCTTACCATCTACTAATATAAGGATTTAGGCCTCTTACCAGATACTGGAGCCGCTGACGTTCTGTTTCTGGTGTGAATTCTGAAGACATTGGAATGACCTCTCCATTTCTAATTATTATGGCTCTGAAAAATCCAACATATAGTGAGAGTGTGGAGAGCAGTCCCTAAAAAAGATGACTTTAAGAAACTGAAGTATTGATGTGTTCCATGTATTGAATCAAAAAATAAAAGAAGCACATTTGCCTATGCCATAGGAAACATATAGCACAAATCACACTGCTGAACAGCTTTCTGCAGGCTAGGACCTCAGAGGAGTGAAGGGTCTTCAATCTCTGGCTCCACATGACTTATGCAAATGGCTTACTTATTCAGAATGCACATGTCATTTCAGGAAAAAAAAACATTTTAGCAGAAATTAATGCATGTCTAGCAGAAACAAAACCATGTTTAGACAAAAAAAAACCTAACTAGGTTTCTGTCAAAAGAAAGAATGAGTAAACACTGTTTAATATGTAATGTTATAGTTAAAACTGCCTTCAATTTTTTTTAACTACAGTAATTGAAATATCATCAGTGAAGCAATTTATTAACTAATTCTTTCTGAAATAACAAAGTTTGACCATGAATATGAATCTAAATCATATGCTGAGCCAGTGGATACTTTAATTCATAAAGATACAACAGAGAATCTTTGCATCTTTAAATGCATCTGGAGCTTCTAATTAATTTGACAAAAGAGGACAAAGTCACAACTAACTCAAACAACGTTTCAACAGTGGTTTTGTTTATGCAATTTTGGCATCATTAAAAAGATTTCTCTGAAGCACAGTAGCACATACATTATTTTCTTATCAACTGGTAAAATAAGGCACTGCCTGATACCTATATAGTAACATACTTATATATTCAGATGAATTTTAACTTCCTTACATAATTTCCTTTTTTAAACCATCAGTGTGATGGGTTAGAATAAGAACCCAAGTTAAATGATTATATAACCATGCTTATGCTTCATATGTGTGTGTTTGTGTGTCTGTAAATATATGTGCAGGCCTGCATGCTTAAAATCCTTCAGAATGAACTTTTATTATTATACAAATCTGTGTCTGATAGTGATTGATTAAAGTTCACATTTACGAGGAGGGGAAAACAAACAGAAGATTTGAAGCATTTGCTTATCTGCTTTTTAGAATAACCATTACAGCCTTGCTATAAGTCACTTACCAAAGTTGTTATGTCTGTTCTAGGAATGTGTTTAATGTTTCACACCATGAAGGTACAGTACTTACAACTCTGTTTCCTTATCAGTAGTGATACAACTGTTTCTTTGGGATCATCTGCTAGAGAAAATAGATGCTCAAACTGTTTTTGATCAACATTTTTATAAGATCTATGTAACCTTGTGGCTTTGCTATAACTTATGTAAATAATTTATATAAATCTTTGCTATAACCATGATGGTGAACCTATGGCAAGCGTGCCAGAAGTGGCAGGCTTTGTAGAGAGGTCATACAGGCACGTGGAGGCCACACACACTACTGAGCCTCATTTTGACTTGTTTTAAGGACATTACATCAAAGTTGGATCAGCCTGTAGTGTTTTTTTCCACTTTAATTTTGAGTGTAACTCCAAATCCAGACCTCCATGGGTTGCTAAATTTGATTTCTATTGATAATTTTTGTGTGATTTTGTTGTCAGCACATTCAACTATGTAATGAAAAAGTATTTAATAAGAATATTTCATTCACTCAGATCTAGGATGTCTTATTTTTGTGTTCCCTTTTTTTTTTTGAGCAATGTATATATGTATGTGTGTGTGCGTGCGCATGTGCGCGCGCGCGCGCGCACACACACACACACACACATATGGTATTCAGCTTTGTTCGGGTATTTTCCCACGTCATTATAGTTGTGCTTTTAAAGTTGTAGCAACATTTCAGCAGAATGTCATCTGCCATCATCAGGCTTCTGTATTGTGTTCGTCTGTATTGTTCGTCGAACACAATACAGAAACCTGATGATGGCAGATGAGATTGCTACAACTTTAAAAGCACAACTAT